CTGGGTTTCCGGGTGCTCCTGGTGCTCCTGGGTTACCGGGACGTCCTGGATTTCCTGGAGCTCCTGGTGGACCGGCCGCTCCACCGGAGCAGCAAGCGGTACAGTCATTGCCTCCTCCTCCTCCTCCTCCTCCTCCTCCTCCAGTGTTGTATCCACCTCCTACTTGACTACCTCCAGTGCGGCCGCCACCGGTTGCTGTGCCTCCTGTTACTGCTCCATCATCATATGCTTGACGAGCGGTACGGTTGGCTGGTACTTTCATGCCATTGACTTCGGACCAGATGTCACGGGCGGAGGTCTGAACAGAAACTTTAGCTTTATTAATTTCAGAGAGCTTAACAACTTACTCGGCAGTAACTGAGTTCGCTCTGCATTGTTCGGCGAACATGGTGCACGTAGTTGTACACCATAGGAAGGGTGGTGGCGGCGCCGAGAATAGCAACCACCGAGAATGCGACTGCCGAGTAGGCGACAAAGCGGTAAGCTTTGCAACGATGCTGCCACTCAACGTCCATGCTGGTGATGTGTTGAGTAACGTGCTGTCGTGCTTATATACGTATACAAGGGCGCTGCTAACCTTGGTGGACGATATACAGTTTTTTGTGTATTTTATGCAGTGATTGCGCTATGTAGATTACGATAACAAGCTACTAGCCTGATCAAAGCTAAAAGCCTTTTAATTTGGCGGCGAAGGTTTCTTGAAGCACTCAAGCGTTGGTAATTCTATCATTTATCGGGTATTTAGAACTTTAGCAAGTTCAGTAGCAGCGCCGAAAGAGATTAGCGCAATATGTAAAGGCACTATTTGTACCGCGGATCGTCTCAGGAAGCCTGTGATTGTCACTGTTGAGAAGCACCCCATTTTAAATTGAGACTTTGAGTGCAGATTCGCAAAGCTCCACTTTATTTGGTATGGATCCACTTTTCGCATCTGTTACTCGCTGAAAAGCTTCCAAGTTGCTTATATCTTGGAGAGTCCGTCCTTCTTGATGTCTCCGTATCTTTTTAGTAATCCTTTATACGTACAGGATGTCTCAAAAAATGTTCAGGCTGTCTAATCATTAATAATCTGCTCAAATGGCTTTTGAAGATTTAGATGCCATCCTAAAGATCTCGCTTCAACTCAGGTTTACCGTCTGAAGCAAATCTCTGATCTCTATTTATCACTGCAAGATTACGGTGGGAACTTTGTAAAACTAGACCATTGAGAAAGTCACATTTCACCTCCAAAAACCAAATAAGCCAAATCCTTATACCGGCTGCTCCAAGTCACTGATTTCTTATACGGAATCTGCACATCACAGACCCGGTATTTCCATGCATTAATTTATGTAAACTTGGAACTGCTTTTCCAACGTTCTTCAAAACTGTGATCACACCACTGAAAGACTCAGAAAACGTACTAAAACCCATAATGAAACTGGCACGCGTGAAAATCCTGCTAACAATTTGATGTTTTTTTTTGAATCAATTTATATTTGTTTCAGTTAATAAAGCGGAAATTTCACATGTTGCTGTATGCCGAAACTTCCTACCGTAATCCTAGAGTAACAAAGAGGGATCGGTAGCTCTTGCCAAACTATAGATCTGATTGAAGCGAGCTCTACAGAACCTAGAGTACTAACTCGGCAGTTCTTAAAACAGGAGAGTTATTAACGATTAAACAGTGTGCAAATTTACTATATATATGCTCCCTTCTCTTTGATTTCATATTTAAGAAGAAGCCTTGTGAAACTTTATAATGGTGACTCTGAACGAAAATGGCTTATAGCTAGAAATGTACATTATTGGATTGGCTTCCTTGCCCTCATTCGCTTTCATGGTTGCTCACTATCCGCGCTTTCTACTAACCATCACTGTACTGTTTCTAGCTGTAATCAACTCGCCAAACTCATAAATTAGATCCATAGACTAAAAAGCGCTGCCGATGTTCCCGTAGACAGTCATGATTGATAGCAATGTTGCATTCATAGCGATGAATTATGGCCATGAGCCGTCACATCATGTTAATGGACTTAAAAGTTAAGCAGTGACTTATCTACGCAACCAAACTTAAAGGGTTACTGCTTCCCAACAATGGCAATTGCTTTCGCTTCCTCTCCTTCACCAAGTTTCTACCTCTCGTTTGAAGCAAACTTGATGCATCTATGGTGCACGTTTATATCTAGCGATAATTAGATTAGACGTAAAATGGAGTTCCAGTCTCTCGAGGTCGTACAATTAACCTTCGAGGACAGGTAAGGAGAACAAAGCTCCACCTCTACCTCAAACTCTGTTTCAAATGCAAGTTGAATGCAGCGAACTTCTCCAAGTTATTGCTTCCACAGGTTAATGTTTCGGTAGCCCAATCACTCAAAGTTCTGGTTCAATACTTGCTTTTTGGACTTGCGTTGTCTACTTCCTAACTTGCCAACTGTCTTTTTATGTCATTAGAAAACTCGAAAATATCAGTGATTTTTCAGAATAGTCGTTTCTTTGCTATTCTACGTTGGACATGGAGACTATGCGACAACTGAAGCACCATGTCGGCATCTTCGGGTAGGACATTTTCGGTAATTTTGGAAAGGGCTTGTTATTTTCCGGGTAAGCTAACTATAAATGTGAGAGTGGTACTGTAATTCGGTTAAGCTAAATGGGTTTATAACCAGCTAGCCTGCGTACGTAACCTAAACCTTTATTAAAAAGTCACAGTAATGCGAAGTAGCTGAAGAATCGAACGACAATTAAAGCCGTAAAATTTAGTTTTTATGGTCTAATCGTAAACAACGTGCGATCTTCTATTTACCAGTAAGTGCATTGATGTCTAGACTTTAAGGAACATCGAGCTCAAACCCTTTCGTGGAACAGTGGAACATGTCCTATATCTCGATGGGTGGGTGGGATTTGCGGTAGGATTTATGCATTTCTTGGGCGATTATCAATCCGGAAACGATTTTCTTGCAAGTTTGCAAACAGGCCGAATCTGCTTATTCGCATGTAACACATAGCTTGTCATGATCAGCGCCAAAGGCTCATAAAAAATAAAAGGCGATAATGAGAAGATTTTGGAGATGGTCTTGTCCTCGCAGATCATAGAAGCTTCAAAATATTCTCAAATGAAGCTTCAAGCAGTCTCAAGAGACGCAGTTTCTGTGCTCGTAGCCAGCTAATTCATAATATTTTTACAAGGTGGATCACGAAATCAAAGTGGCCGATCACTTCCATTGAATATTGAGACGCTGAATTTAAATCGCTTTTCGCACTCGTGCGTCTTCAGAGGATCTAAGAGCATTTTTGATAAAAAAAAGAACTAATAGATTAGATGAAATCAATGTTATAGCTTTTACAAGGAAATATGACACTGATAGATTAGGCAGAAGAGTTTATTGTATAAAGTGCTATAGAATTGCTGTATTTGAGGCTTGAAGAGGCTGTAACGATTGGTTTCATCCCGGCCATTACTTTATTTTTGAATTCTAAGAATTGTTCACAGCTTTTTCCCAAAATTGCTCTGCAGATATGGAGAGCACATATGGAATCAGCACTCCGAAAATTTTTTGGGGTGCTTCCCAAATTTT